TACAACAGGCAGTTGCTGTCCATTTGAAACTTAGATTCATTATGAATACTCTGCGTAAACAACCTATCAAAGATTATCCTTTATCTTCTAAAAAACAGTGAAGAATGTGCACAATTCCTTAAGAACTTTACAATCAGTGAAAATGAAATATTATTATTCAACATGGAATCCTTGTGTACATCAATTGGAAAAGAAAAGTGATAAAATTATTGAATACATCTTTCCCCTACCAAATTTTATCTATTCTTAAGCATGTGTTTAAATGCTACACAGTTCTAGTATATATTTGTTTAGTTCTAATAAATACAGGAAACTGTGGTTGATTCTTCTGTGGTAACAATTATAGTTAAATAAACCACTGAAGAACAAGCATTAAACTTCTTCCCACACAACTGAATGCCATTGGAGGTATGTAAATAAAATGTTCATGATTTTATTAATATATACAAGTACACTACTTTGAACCATTTAATTAGGTTTCATGATCACATCAAATCCATCAAGAAAACAAGAACCACAAGGTAATCTTGAATTCTTATATTTGTTATAAAAAAATCATAGTAACACCTGACCACTTCTGTCAACAGGATACTTCAGAATCCTGAACAAAGAGAACCTCTAGGTTATGCTCAGATCACACATTTTTAATTACCTTATTTAATATTGATTAACAGATTCAAAGGGATGAAATGAACAAAGTTAACACAAGCTTTAACCATAAAGACTCAGAGAATGTCACTGTCACTATACTTTATATTAGAGGCCTAGCATAGCAAGTGAAATATCAACTCAATAAAGTGAAAATAAAAAATCCATAAACCTTTACATAATCTACTGGTATATCCAAAGACTGTTCCACCAATTAAATGTGCAGGTTGTGTAGACAAAATTTCATATAATGACCCTTTTGAATCATACTAGAGAGAAACTTCCAGATTATTATAAACAAGATTAAAGGAACCTCAAAACAATATATAGTAGAGAAATTAATTAATCTGACTGACCAAACAGGAACATTATTGGAAGAGCAAACAACAAATATCACTGGTTATTCTATTAATTGAAGAACAATGTAAAAGACATACAGCACACAAAAATGGATTGAGTGTTGCCATATCAACCAAGTATCATATTCTTGTTAACAGAGATCTCCACGAGGGTGAAACAATGACTCTTTCAGTTTTAAAAACCACTGAAGAAGACGGTTGATCAGTCAAGATGCTTGATTTTATGCATTTTTGTCAGGTGTCAATAATAGATATATTGCAGTTGTATTTCCCAGATTATAAGACTTATCCAGTCATAACATCAATCAAACAAATCAACAGAAAAGAAAGTAACAATACCTTGACATGTACTTTTTACTTGCACAAATAAATGTTCTATAATTTCACTTTAGAATTAACTTTTTATGCAAGCAACTATGATGAATATTATAGATTCAGTAGAAGATCTATTAAAAACTTAAATGAACTGCTAATACATTAGAATAGTTATATGAAAAAACCAATTTCAAGCAAGCAGAAATAGCAAAAAACTAAACTTGTAAAAAGAAAAATTTGATACTAAAGAATTATACAAAATCCTGCACTTAACATTAGGTGACAGTGATATTTTTACTAAACCATTTAAAAAGATACATAGTATTGTCAAATATAACTTTTGTCATGAAGGTTTTAATACATTTTCCATTTAAAATAATCTGAATTTAAATAGCAATCCAAATGGGCTTGAACTATAATGAAAGCAAAAATTATTACTGGTAAAATACAGTTTTCATGAAATAAATTGTATAATGAATGACATACAATAATTACAGGCATAGATATATATATTTCCATTTTACATCGGAAAACACCAAATTCAGACCATGTTCTAACAAATAAACAAGTAGTCTCAGTTGAAGCAAAATTACAAGCACATAGTACCTCGGTTGTTTTGAGTATGAGCAGTCCATTTCAAACAACTAGTATTCCTGCAAGTTCTGAGTTTTAAGCAGTCCATTTCAAACACCTAGTATCCCTGTGAGTTCCGAGGCATTTGACACAACAATATCTAGCACCACAGGGAATACATGTGTAATTGGAAGGAAAGCCACACACTGAACAAAAGTGATGTTCAGGAAATTTTGATGGAGGAACACAGGCACTTAGGTAGTTGGGAGGATCAGAAGAGTTTAATTGTTCTTCTTCTAAGAGAACAGTGAAATTCTTACGAAACCTTTGTTTGAACGGTTCACTTTTCAGTCGTCTATTTCGTTTTTTTGACTCTAAGGTTTCCTCAAATTTGGGTGCTTTTTTGTGCATCACAAGATTAGCATGGGGATCATCATGAAAATTGTCTTGCTCAAGGGCATCTAAAGCTTTTCGTTGACGACGTTTTCGAGCTGCTTTATCCAACACACGCTGTTGATTAACTTCTTTTACACGAGATGACTCCCTTTTGTCTCCCATATTTGGAATCTGCTAATATTCATCCAATTCTAATAGTAAATAAATAGATAAATTCATAGGAAGTTAATTACAAACAATTTTCACAAAATACATTAACTCAAGTAACAAAGCAAAAAAAATTATTTTTTGCTTAATCTATTAGTGTATCCAAAAAATATTGCTACAAGAATTTGCGTTATTACTTTATAATAGATTTTACAAAGTTATAAGTTTTGTTAGCTGAAACATAAAAAATAAAATTAGCTTATTATTAAACATAAACCAATAATTTACAAAAATCATTATTTTTGTCAATAGTCTTTGCATTTGTTTTGAAAGCAGTTAAACAGTAATATATTTCTTAATTCACTATAATCATAAAGTAATGAAAAAAAGGCTAATTATGTGGAAAATGTTTCTTGATTTAGAAAGACCTGGAGAACCTTACAGAGTAGGAAGAATATGGAAAATAAGTTTCAATATTTAAAAGAAGAAACTTTGGTAATAATAAGAAAAACAATTTAAGTATGCTTACTAATATACATCTAATATTTTTCACTGTGATAGAAAAAAACTCAGTTTTTGGAACTACTGTACATGTAATTAATAAGATATTTGTATTCAGGAATAAGTTAGTTCAAATTTGCACAAGATTTCAAGAGGACTCATAGTATAGTGGATAATTTTGGCCAATTTACTATAAGAATGGCATTGTACTAGAGTGTGAGTAAAACATGGGTTACTAAAATAATTCATATTCCTAGTTTAATTTAAAGAACTTTTGCTATGAAGATCTAATCAAAAACACCTTAGGTGTGAAAAAAGGTGCAGCCGAAAAAGGATTGAGCATTGAACTTAAAGAAACGAAATCAAAATTGTTGGCCAAACTGGTGGCTATATTTATAGCATTAATAAGAATTTTACAGCAAATATTTATTCATCATTTAGCCAGGCTACATTTTTTGTTCAACTTGGGGCATGATGGTGGGTAAAACAAAATATGCAGCCAAGCTAACTAATGAATGGATTTTTGGTGTAAAATTCTTATCAATGCTACAAGTGTAGCTACCAGTTTGGCTGCCAATTTTGATTCCATTCCTTTAAGTCACATATTCAGTCTTTTTTGGCCATACCTTTTTTTCACACCTAAGGTGTTTTTGATTATATATCATGCCTTTTTTGTCAATATACACCAACAAACCACAGCAAGTAAGAAACTGACACTCGATAGTAACCAACATTAACTTTAGGATTGCAATCTTTTTAATTGAAATAAACCTGACCCATAAGTTACACAACCAACCAAATTCTTTAAAATATATGGTGGTAGTTTTCCTCTCTAAAACAGTGTTAATAACTTCCTTTATAGTAACACCAAAGAATCTAGATAACAGTTTCTTGTCATCACCTGCATGCACTCAGTACAGTCATATCAAGCATCATTATTTATGCTAATTTCTCAAGCCAATATTAATGACACTAAAAGTTGGCAATGAATAAGGAATAATAACCATCCACCCATATGTTTCTTTTGAAAACTTGAGCTAGAAAATGTTAATCTGGCTTACTGGCCTAACCAATTATTTATATATCTGTAAATGCTCTCACCCTATAGTTTAGTTGCTCTAAGTCAGCTGACTTTAATCTGAAGGATAAAAACTAAAAATGGTCCACTTTTACTCTTAGGTGAAAATGTAGTAAAAGTTTTAGACTGATAGCTCTTGACTTGTTGCATAGGCATGCACAAACATTTTGGTCAAATAACTTTTCACATGGAGCCTATACTTAGACAAAGTTTGACACCTATTGTAGGATGTGAAGATTTCAGTGTACCAAATTTGAAAAAAATCCATAAAAGTATATTTTTCTATGAAAGAAAGTTTCCATACTTTTAGTGCAAAGAAAGAAAAAAAGAGGAAGAAATTCAATCACAATTGGAGATTTTATATCTCATGTATTTCTAAATGGATTGCCTTGAAATTTGGTATGTAAAGTAAGAGTCCAGTAGGGCACATCCACTGAAAATATGTTATAGTTTGAATTACCACAGTCTAAGCTATAGAAAGTGGAAAATCTCTAAACTATCACTCCTATTAATAATACACAGTGTGTCCTGCAGGTTGTTTTGTCCACAGGACAAAACACCTTATGTCTTGATGTGTGATATGTTACAGTACAAAGAAAAAGTTTGTAAAATGTAGAGTTGAATAACAAGGGGTAATATAGATAACCAAACGTGTACTGAGAAGTGAAATGAAACTTTGTAAAATCCAGAACTGGATAAAATACACAAACTGCTGGAAGTCCAGATTTGGACTAGTCCTGAGTGGTCAAATTATTTATCTGTCAAAGGTACAAATTTGTGAAATGGTTTGTCTGATGTTTAAACTTTAGCCTGACAAAGTGAATAACAGGTCCTTTATAGGGTCTGTTATTGTTCATAATTTACATAATTTATGGCAGTAATTTCAGTAGTTCATAGACAGAAATATATGTATTTCAAAGCTTACTTATGACATTACAGTATGGAGAAAGGTAGCATAACAGCAAGGCTATAAGATCAAATATATCTTTACTTGATGCTAATTATACAGATCTTTGGTTTATTACACTGCAAAATGATGATGCAATTTTGTAATCTAAGCCCCAAGTTTAACACTGGAGGATAGACATGTTGACTCATTTAAAAAAATTTTAAATATACCTAACAAATATGAAATAAATGTCCATCTGGCCTTACACCTCATCTCTATACAAAAAGCAATAGGGGATTATGGCAGGATAAAGAATATCAAACTTTCATTTTGCAAGGACTAATGGATATTAACAATAGTGATGTTAAGAGATGGTCAACCAACTTGTAGTAGGTAACACTACTGATAACACATAGGAAACTTTCTTCCAAGTAGTAGCAGGATATTAACAATAGTGATGTTAAGAGATGGTCAACCCACTTGTAGTAGGTAACACTACTGATAACACATATGAAACTTTCTTCCAAGTAGTAGCAGGATATTAACAATAGTGATGTTAGGAGATGGTCAACCCATCTTGTAGTAGGTAACACTACTGATAACACATAGGAAACTTTATTCCAAGTAGTAACAGGATATTAACAACAGTGTGTTCTGTGCAAACTTCCAGTAGGTAAAAATATTTGACAAGACTTGCCTTTTATCAAAATTGGGATTGTTTTTTTAAATAACATTTAGTTTCTGAAAGAAACCTGTTCATCATTCAAATTCTTTAGTACACATTATATGTATATCTTCTTTTCAGCTATAGTCTTACAAAATACTTGAAATTTAGCCTCTGATAATTTTTTTAACTCTTTGATAATTTATGGCATGCTCTTTAACAATGGTAACAGTGAGGGTGTAATAATGTATTAAATTAATTAAATATGAGATGTGGGAGTTGTGATAATTATAGCATTGGAAATTAATACTTTATAACAGTGTGGTATCTTAGTACCATACAGAATGGTTAAATACTTTTTATTAATAGCAACATTATGCACTAAATTTACAATACTGTGAGGCATTATACTACACATTTTCATGAACAACAAAATTGTTAAATTTCATTAAACTATGAAGTAGAAATGTGCTAACAATAAGTTATTTAAATCATAATGTAATCCTTTTTGAGGCATAGCAAGAGATATGTAACCTATACTAACATTTAAACTCCCCATAATGTATTAAGCCTACACCTGATGGATTGGTAATTGGGCAAGATATATAGGAGTAATAAACACCTAAAGGAGGCAATAACATTCAGTCTAATAATGGTTGGAGATGGCTTGAATGGGTAATGAAGAAAAACTTTAATATAAGTTTAATATAACAGCAAATGTACAACGTTTCGACATTAAATATTAAAGTTTTTCTATATTACCCATTCAAGCCGTCTCCAACCATTTATTAGTCTCAAAGTGGGTTCCTCGTCATCAAATTTAACATTCAGTCTGTTCACACTATTAATCTAATACAAAGAATGTTTCTTGATACACCAATAATTTCCCTTGATAATTCTTTGCAGATTTGTACTGACTGTTTGCAGTCACCCAATTCAAAAAACATTAAAGTTAGAAATAATTTAGAGGAACCAGTTGCATTATAGTGTGATTATGAGCAAAGTCAAACCTAATCCTGATGTTTTATTGACTCTGGTTTTAAAGATACTTGTAACTTATTTATACCTATCTTGTTGATCAAGGTCAAAAGAAAAAACAGAAACGCATTGGTTTCCAGCCTCAGGTTGTTGACTACCTCACCTTACCATGGTTATAGCTCACACAAGCACTGATTACAAATTTAAAATATGACTGGAAGTGTGGTGTTAATTCAAATGTGGATTTCAAAAGTTTATTAACATTATCAAGGTACAGAAACTCGAACAAACTCAGAAAAAGTAGTGCATATTTTGCAAAAGTACACAAAATATGACTTAAAACTTTTAGAAATGTGAAACACAATTAGAAACTATGGTTATATACAAATGGTTTCTGAAATTTTGGTAATCAACCAGTCAATATTCAACAACTATTTTTTTCATAACTGTCCAATTATAAACAAGTTGTCTTCAACTAACATTAACAGGACATCTGTACCAAGAAATCCATCATGTCCTAATGGTCAAGACTAGGAGAAGTGCTGCTACTGTTGAGACTGTTTTTCTTAGTAAAACCTTGATGGTCTTAATAATCAGGTCAGAATAAGAAGTAGTAATCTCAAAAGTGTAAAGTGAAATGGATACTTAATTTTTGCACCAGACAAGAAAAGATGTTTCAAAAAGATACATGTAGGTTTGAGATGGATACCTTACACCCCTGTTATAATCAGCATACTTTACAGAAATAATGATCCTAAAACAGACTCCAAAAGAACCAAATTAGTCCCATTCATCAATTTAGAAAACTTCCCAATTATCATTATCCTGTGATTTTTACTCTACAATGCAATTTTTCAATCCACTTTTTAAATTTTATCCATATCAGAAAAAAAATCCAACTTTTGAATTAATTTTTTCAGAAAAAAACCTAATAAAAGATTTCTGAAAGTCTAGATAACACTAAGAAGTCTCATGAAAGGACAAATTGGGCTGGTGATACATATATACCCTTTATATATTAAAACCTTACTGAGTTATGTTCATTAAATGATCCTTTACATTGTAACACATAGTGAGCAATTCTGACATAATGATACTGTTACCTTAGAACTCAGTTAGTCTAAAATTACATTTTGATGTACTAATCTCACAGCATAACAAATCATTTGAAATTTACTATTTGTAGTTCCACTGTCTTAGTGCAATAATGCATAGAACACTTCACAGTATCAGAAGTTATTTATATATTAAATGTTTAAACATTTATTTTACCATTACTCACTATACTGAAACATGATAGTCATACGTTCTTTACTTCACATGCTCCAATTACATAAAATTTCACTTTGTATTAAGGAGTCCCAGAGAATTATAGTTCTTGGCCACGGAAGTATGTGAATGCAAAATCACAGTTGCGAATATATAAGTCTACCATAAACAAAATTCTAATTATTATACACAAAAACAACAAATGAAAAATGTCTACAGTACTAATACATGCTGAGTTTGCATGATTTATTTCAAGGCACCTTACTCTCACAAGGTTGTAAATTGGTTTTAAAAAAATTGCAATAATTGTTAAATCTTTCTTCCTCCATCTGGCAGGAACCATCGAAGGAATGTTAAAATAAAAACAGGATGTTGGTTCAAATTGACTGGACCAATAAGGATCAGTGATATATCAAACAATAGCTCTCAAATGCTCTACTTTTATCTGGGTGGTTTCATTAGATTCCAAAGCATTTTCTATTTGAAAACACACAAACAACACTTTAAAACTATTTATAATTCTGTTTAGCCATTGAATTTGTAGAAACAAAGCCATACAATAAACTTTGTGTTAGGTATTACATAATGCATAAAGGATACATAGACATGTCTGCCCAAATCAAACTGACAGGATGTCAAAAAATAATGAATGGGGATTGTAAACAGACTATACATTGTTTTGGCAACAACTTGTTTGACGTCGTATCATCGGGCGTAAATAGACGATATGTACTCTTGACAACAGTTTGCTATCTTTGGGTTTGGCTAAAGCTAAAGAACATGCATAGTACATGATAAAAGTGGTATGAACAATGTATAAATTACATCGTGACATGACTTAGAATGGGTGGAGGTTACTACTGGTACTTATCTGTCAATCACAGTATTTCAAATTTACAACCAACGTGATTACAAAATATCTCCTATACTTTCATAGGTACATAGGTAAGCTCATATTTCATTTTTAACATTTGGTTGTTACAATTTTCATTTCATATATCCATATAATATGAATCCTTGTGTATGAGTTTGAAATTGTTGGATTTTATTGGGACTACATTTTATTTTGCTTTGATGTGGGTTTCATGCAATCTCAGGTTACCAGGTAAAGTGATAATTTGGTACCAGTCACTGAAATTTTGTTCACATTGTTCCAATGGGAAAGTTGTATTGTGCAAAAGGTCAATTTACAGGTACGATTTTTAACTGTTTTTTGTTAATTATTAACTACATGAACTTGCAGTGTCAATCTACTAACTTGTGGCTGTGGAATCCAATGATGTGTGAATTTTTTTGATATTTAAAAATCACTGAAACCACTGACTTGTATTTCATTTTAACATCTTACATGTCATTATTATATTATTAAACACAGACTTTTATGACATAACTGTACACTTTCAAAGAAACTTAACTCTGCAAGTTAAACCCTTAGTATAATTCAACTATATCTGATACCATGATCATGCATGGATGATATTTACAAACTTTATACAATGAATTTCTTGACACACTAAAGTAACAGTTCCTCTCTCAGTGCAGGTTTCATTTTTATATACATAGAAAAACATGTCATATTGTATAATTAATTATATCTTGCTTATTACTTATCATATCAACATGTAATTTTCTTTTAAATTAATTGGTTGAAATATTTCACAGGCGATTATGTTCTGAGATTGTAAGAAGAGTTGAGAAATATAATTAATAATCCATTTATTTCCAAAGTTGACAAATTAATGATTTTTTTAAAATGAATTATAAAATTATTGATTTTTATTGCATACATTTTTCTCAGAACATATATTTAACATCACAATTTTTAAAGCTAACACAAAGGTTAGTTTATCCCATACATATGGCCATGGCAATGATCTAGAAAGACATACATATATATCCATGACAGTGACCGAGTTAAAAACTTTCCCCATTTGGACATTGATTTAAAAACTAATTCTTTACAATAGATATCTCAAAATACTGATCATCAAAATCACAACAAGAGCATCAATGAATATAAAATTTTAAAACAAAACCCAAAATTACAAACTGATATTTGCTGATATTGTGCGATTTAAAAACTAATTCTTTACAATAGATATCTCAAAATTCTGATCATCAAAATCACAACGAGAGCATCAAATTCAATGAATATAAAATTTTAAAACAAAACCCAAAATTACAAACTGATATTTGCTGATAGTGTGAAACACATACAAGACTGCTGAAAGATTACTGTATATATACTTTTCCATTTTAGTGATGTATAAACAAACATATTTTCCTTTTTTAAAGTCTGTTTTTGCCTGCTTTGGAAAAAGCTTCTGAATGAATTAACTAATAAAAATATTGAAATGCTTTCTTAATATGGCAAAATACTATATCTCAGTCTTAATAAATAATACTTTTTCCTGCTTTTTCTTAATTCGTGTTCATTTTTACTGATAAACACTCAGGCTGCTGAAGATTATGGATTTTATCATGAATCATGTCTAAATTTAAATTTTATACATCAGTGTTCCTCTCATAAAAGAAGTAAGTCCATTCCAGATAACCATACCTCATGTGTATAATTTTACAACTTCCAATAATAAAACTCATCTATAAAATTCTGGTTTAGTCAATATGACTGTCAAATATATTTTGAATAAGGAAAATCTCTTAGTAGCATACACTCTTTTTAGCACCATAACATTGTCAGTGAATTTGGAGATATCAAAAATAAGATTTCAAAGTTCACTGTGAAAGCTTATCTTCAGCATGTGAATGTATATTTCTTGGTTAAATATCATATGAAATTTAGTATTAAACAATTTTGCAGACTGTGTGAGAATTAGCATCCTTTTTCACAGTGGTCACAGATTGTGCAGGTAATATGAAACAATTTAGCATCCATTACACCCTTCAAAAAATTAAAGGCATTATAAATTTAAGAATTTTAAATTGACTACTATGATTGGAAACTTAAAAGGATTACAGAAGATTAAGAGAGTTGGTCAAACAGGATATTAAAAAATAGACTAACTGAAAATGTACTCAGTAAACAGGTATCTTTGATATATTCAGTAGTTGATTGAAATGATGTAATTAATTTCTGAACAGTTTTTGTTGCTTTATTTAATGAATGAACCATTTGAAGTTTATGCTAAGTGACTGTGAATAGGATTAATAATAATAGATAAGTGTACACTGTGAATAGTGGCACCACTGCCTAATCAAATAAGAGTTAGAGACTAACTTAAACTTTAAACTAAAGTCTTAGGTTAACAAGTTGTAGTAGCAGAAATGTGACTTGTTTAGAACTTGTTCAACAAATTTTAAACAAGTCACATTTCTGTTTCAACGAATTATCTCTTACAAATTACAAATACAATAACTTTTCAGTTTCACACTTCATAAAATGCAACCGAGTATCAGCCTTACTTGTAGTAGCATCATATAAAATAATATGCTTGGTCTAAATTTGTAATTTAGATGAATTATGCTAACCCTAATCTCTACTTTATAAGGTTGTACGAGTACAGTTTGAATCGTATCTTTGTATCATTATCACTATCAGGCTCCATATAGACATAAGGTAGGGATAAATAAGATAACATCTTAACTTTTTTAAGTGGAATAGTGGTATTACCTCTCCTTACCTTCACGTATCTTGACTCGTTTACTGTCAGTTTCATATAAATAAAAGTCGGTGCTTATTAGAAAATACTAAGGATCATACATATCAGTTCTTATTTTACCGCTATTTTTGTTAGTCTCGAACTTCGCTCTTTTCTAAATCTTACTGACGCTGACAGCGTTTCTTTCGAATTATGTTAACGCTCTCTATCCTTTTTAGCTTGGCTTTTTCAAAATAATAAATTAACATGCAAAATCGTTATTAGTATTATTGTTTTGGAAATTATAGTGTTGATTATTCAGTTATTTACTATATTTAGAGCACATTTAACACTGAAAAACTAGTATACTTGAACATTACTATTCTGAACTGTATTCCTCATGTTCATGTGATGAAGAAACATTTTTCGTGATAAAATTAATCGATAACATTACTGGAATATTATTTAATATAAGCCACGTGTCTGCATCAGTATTTAGGTCGTTGTGCTCGACCAAGGAGGGCCAGGTTCAATTTCTTCTCTAGTACTAGCGAAGGTATGGTTCGTTTGTATGTTTTGAATTTCCCGCAAAGCTACTCGAGGGCTATCTACGCTAACCGTCCATAATTTAACACTAATAGACTAGAGATAGGACAGATAGTCAACAACTCCTACCGCCAACTCTTGGGCTACTCTTTTACAAACGAATAGTGGGATTAGCTGCATATGTAACGCCCCCACGGCTGAAAGGGCAAGCATGTTCGGTGAGAAGGATTCGAACCCGCGACCGGTAGAGCATCCATACTGTTACGTCTCCGTTCGTTAGTTAATTTTCCGTAATTTTGTTCCGACGAAACTTTAGCGACACAAGTCCTTTCTTAAATAAACTGGTTTATTCTTTCCGAATACAACTTTACCGATACACTTAATTTCAACAGTCGCTCTATAATCAAACGCTATAACTCACGCCTCACGTGGTCAACGATATTTTGTCCACATACATTCAATTACTCATTACCTCTCCATCGCTTTGTGGCCGGTCTTATATATACCAGACTATCCCCAATCTAGTAA